AGCTGTATAAAAGTCAGACTCTTTTGAAGTAATGAATAACGGGTCAAATTTGGAGCTTCATGCATGTAGACAGCATGATATTTTAGGTCTATGTGTGACCACATGGTTACAAATGGCAATTATTGGCATCACTTAACACAGAACTAGAGATGCACATTCAGAACCATAATTAATCGTATGTATGTGTAGTAGTTTCAGTATTGGATACCCTCTAGCTGTAATACCGATGCATATTTTTGTAAAGTTTGTACTGTTAAAAAATTTTAGAAAATGCTCATGGATATTTAATTATGCTGTCTAAATCTCAACTTTATGACTTTTCAATGACCATGGAATTATTACATTGAAATACAGATTTCTTTGAGTTTTGTCTGGTCTTAATTCATTTCACTCTCTTCCTTGCCTCTTATGTTTAAAACAATTGATAAGATTTCATTTGAATGTAGTGAACAACATTATCAATTATTTAGGCAATGATAGCATTATAGAAAAGGTTTGCTATGAGACTTTTCACTTTAAAAAAAAATAAAATCATGACTCTCCTTCCTTCAAGTAAGTAGTGAAACTCATGTTACACACCCTTTTCAGTAAGCTCCCAGAGGCTTATTGGCAAAACCAGAAGTCACCTTGCTTATCTTCTACGGGGGAGCAGCAAGAGTTGTTCCATGAGAGAGAAAGAGTTCGGAAAAGAACACGGCTACAGCAAAGACAAGGTCCTCTCTGAACAGGGTACCATCCCAGTGGGGTCAGGATAGTGATAGTCACCAGTCTGAGACAAGGCAAGGTAAAAAGTCAGCGGTCTATCCAAGAAATCCACTAAGGAAAAACAGGAGACCAAAGACCAAAATGGAGACAAGACTTCCTGTAACACAGATCTGAGCTTCAAGGAGACAAGCCCAGAGAGAGGACTATTATAACACAGGTTTATGGTTCATCCAGGAGACCAGGGCCAGAGAGAATGGTGTACCTGCAATGTGCACCTGAGGTCCACCTAGGAAGTTCAGTCAGTAAGCCGTGCTGGAAAGAGATAGGGCTGGATAGAGACACAGCTCGGACAAAGTGGGCCAGGTTTGGGTGCACAGGCCAGAGCTTAAATAGAGCTCCTGGACCACTTGGAAATGCTGTTACATATGACTGGTAACTGGCCTGCTAGTGTATGCCAGTAACCATTGTCCATGTTAATTAACACGTGGATTCTGGATTTCTGTCTGGGCCAACTTAATTTTAAAATGAATGTAATAAAACATAAATAGTGAGTATGGAAAACTCACGCAGAATGTTACTAAGGCATTGGACTGGTTTTAGCTGGGATAGAGTTACATTTCTTCACAGTAGCTTCTAATAGGGCTAGCTGTGCTTTGGATTTGGGATGAAAACACTGTTACTAACATAAGAATGGTTTTGTTATGGCTGAGCAGTGATTAGACAACCTCAAGGCCTTTTCTGTTCCTCACACCAGTGAGGAGGCTGGGGGTGCACAAGAGATTGAGAGGGGACACAGCTGGGACAGCTGACCCCTGCTGACCCAAGAGGTATTCCATACTGTATGTTGTCTTGCTCAGCAGTAAAGCTGGATGGAGGGATGGGGAGGTTGGCAGGGGTTGTCATTGCATGGGGAGTGGCTAGGCATCAGTTGGCTGGTGGTGAGCAATTGTTTGGGTTTTATTTGCATATTTCTTTTTTATTCTCTCTCTTTTTTAATTATTAAACAGTCTTTTTCTCAACCTATGAAATTTCACACTTTTACCCTGCTGATTCTCACCCCCATCCCACTGGGGATAAGTGAGTGAGCAGCTTTGTGGTGCTTAGCT